GAATTATAAGGTGATAGGATGATGATGAGGGGTGAAGGGACAATCACAAATACGTTCGTGCTTACGCAGGACTCAAACCTGCAGCCCCCTCAGCGCAGACGACGGCTGCCGCAACCGCATTCTCCACGCGAACACACTCCGTCTTGTTGTTGTTGTTGTTGTTATTGTTGTTGTTGTTGTTCTTCTTCTTCTTGTTCTTCTTTTTTTCTTTTTTTCTTCTTTTCTTCTTCTTTTTCTTCTTTTCTTCTTCTTTTCTTCTTTCTTCTTCTTCTTCTTCTTTTTCTTCTTCCTTCTTCTTCTTGTTTTTATTATTATTGTTATTATTATATTTTATTATTATTGTTACTATATTTTATTATTATTATTGCGGTGCTTGTGGTTGCAGGGAGGCGGACTACACGAAGGGCATCTTCCAGTCGATCGGCTTCAAGGAGTTCCACGAGTACCTGCTGCTGGCGGAGGGCGAGCGCGAGTGCGAGCGCGGCCGCCGCATGTTCCAGGAGGCCGTGGCGGCGCTGAAGACGGTGACGCGCCGCTACGCGCGCAAGCAGGTGCGCTGGGTCGTCAACCGCTTCCTGCGCCAGCCGCAGCGCCAGGTGGGTCCCTCAGCTCGCGACGAATCTCGGCGAACGCCTAGCTCTAGTCCCAGCACACCGTCCAGATCTGTCTGTCCTACCTTACCCTGCCACGCCCTGCCATTTCTTCTTCCTTGCCCGCACTTCCTTGTCTCCATTGAACAAATATTCAGATGACCCCCCTTTTTTTTTCTTCTGGACGTAAAAGTAGCTTCACTATGCACACATTTTGTTGATCTCTCCTTTTGCTTGTCATGTTAAGAGTAGAGGTAAAGGCGAGTTGCTATTTTGTTAGCAATGCAAAAAAATTATACTTTCAATTCGTGTACCGATGCAAATAAGTTTTTTATAACTCAGAAACAAAAATGACTAGTTTTCAAATATTGCTAATCTTGCAATTTTTAAAATTTATTTTTATTTATTTATGTTAAACTTTGACTCATTTGTCAAGTATTTATAAATAAAATGACAGGAAGGGATTCTGGAACTCAAGAAAACTTGCGCAGATAATCTTTTCCCTCCTACGTCGCGTACAGCTTTTACTGTTGTTGTTTTTTTTCTGAATAAATCCAAATCTAAATCGAATGCCGGAGCAGTACCCTAACAAACGGGCCACGACCCGCGCGCGATGTTTCCTTCCTCTTCCTTTTCCTATCTTCACCTCTTATTAAACACATTTACATGCACTACTCTACCACACATGCCAGGAGGTCGGTCGGGAGCTTAGAGTTTGTCCCGGCGGAGCGGTGCCCCGCTGGTGGGAGATACCTGGTTGCGCCGGATCCCACCATTCAGCGGCGGAAGATCACCGCTACCTCCGCGAAAAAGAAACATGCAATGTACGTACGGGAATAATGACCTTAGTCGTTGACGCGCCCGGTAATATCAATCAATTACTCAAAACCTTTTTTGATATATATTTCAATACATTACTTTCACATCAATTTAACGCTATCAACACTCTGTAACGCCAGGCGTCCTTTCAAGAGTTAACAGTCTGTCGTTCGTTAAAAACAATCGAAACATGAGTTAGGTGGCCGTACTCGTAGCTACAAATGGTGTAAGTACGCTTATTACAATAAATGGTATTGCTAGTTTATTATTTTTTCTTCTTAGTATTGAACAACACTCGTGTAATATTACAAATAACAGGTTGATATTTTATTCGGTTGATATTTGGTGTCCGTTTGCTTAATGTCGTTAACAATCATTAAATTATATATTTTTCTTAAAAAAAAATAATAATGCGAATACTTTTCTCACCTCCCTAAAATATTTGTACTCGTTCAGGGAAAATTCGAAATATCTCAGCAGCTGAGGCGGCTCGGGTTGCAACTGCAATGTCTGTGATCGGGAGATCCAAGGGTTCGTGTTTATCGTCTGTCGATTTTTACGTAGATACGTAGATCTGGAAGATAATTCTAGCAGTTAGTTGCTATGATTGGTAGTTGTCCGCATTTTCTCAAGTCAATACCAGGTGAAGTCCGGAGCAGTGCCCTAACAAACGGAGCGCATGCGATCTTTCTTTCTTTTTCTTTCATACATACAGTATTATACACTGAAGAGCCAGAAAACTACTACAGCCATGCGTGTTGAAATAAAGAGAGCTGGAACCAATCAGAAAACGGCGCTCCGGTCGGCAACGACTATATAAGACAACCAGAGTCTGGCACAGTTGTTAGATCGGTTACTGCTGCTACAATGACAGGTTATGACCATTTAAGTAAGTTTGACCGTGGTGTTATAGTCGCGCAAGAGAGATGGGGCACAGCATCTCCGAGGTCGCGATGAAATTTCGATTTTTCCGTACGATCATTTTGCGAGTTTACCGTGAATATCGGGAAGCCGGTAAAATATCAAACCTCCAGCATCGCTGCAGCCGCAAAAAGATCGTGCAAGAACGGGACTGACGACGGCTGAGGAGATTCATTACACGTGACAGAAGTGCAACCCTTCCGCAAATTGCTGCAGAGTTCAATGCTGAGCCATCAACAAGTGTCAGCGTGCGACATTCAACGAGGCATTCGTATCCGTATGGGTGGTATCGGAACAGAAGGCCCACTCTTTCACACAAAGCTTTACGCCTCGCCTGCGCCCATCAACTCCAACGTGTACGAGAATGTCGACAACCTCGTGAATCCATGGACCCTGCATGTCAACAGGGGACTGTTCAATCTGGTGGAGGCTCTGGGATGGTATGGGGCGTGTGTAGTTGGAGTAACATGGGACCCCTGATGCGTCTAGATGCGACCCTGACAGGTGATACGTACGTAAGCATCCTGTCTGATGACCTTCACCCATTAATAATATTCATTGTGCATCCTGACGGACTTGGGCAATTCTAGCAGGATCCTGCGACAACTCACACGTCCAGAATTGCTCCAGAGTGGCTCCGGGAACACTCTTCTGAATTTAAACACTTCCACTGGCCACGAACATCCCAAGACATGAACTTATTGAGTATATCTGGGATGCCTTGCAACGTGCTGTTCAGAAGAAATCTCCACCCCCTCGAACTCTTTGAGAGTTTATGGACAGCCCTGCAGGATTCATGGTGTCAATTACCTCCAGCACTACTTCAGCCATTAGTCAAGTCCGTGCCAAGTTGTGTTGCGGCACTTCTGCGTGCCCTGGGGGCCCCACACGATACTAGGCATGTGTATCGGTGTTTTTTTTTTGTTTTTGTTTTTTTCAGTGTATATTATCTTTATCCATTAGTTTAGTTAAATAGTATTATTTTACCCAATTTATTCATGTAACACAATCAAAAAGTATTTTTGTGGGCTTTTATTCCCACTACTGAAGTCAAGGATCTATGACTGGACAAATTTTACTTTTGCCTGAAAAGTGGGAAGTTCAAGGTCTAGTTGGGTTTTAATACAAAGGTCAAAATTCAGGTTTTAGATCACATTATTTTTAAAAATATACTTTTTAATGATCCACTTTAATTACTGTAGTAGACACTGAATATTAATGCTGACGCAAATATGTTACAGTAAATATTTTCATAATTAAATTTGTTCTAAGAATTGGTTGCCCTGACCGGGACTCAAACCTGGGCCTTCTGCTTTACACCCAACTGCTCAAACACCCAGCTAATGAGTCAGCCAATAACATAATTATATAAAGTAAATATTTTGGTTTTCAATGTTTTTGTTCCCATTGATCACATGAAACTCATAAGAATGATTTGTCTGCCTAAAGCACTTCCAATTCCTGAGCAAGAAATGCTTAAAAGATGTGATTACCTGTGGTTACTCTGTTACAGGTTCCTCCTGTGTATGCTTTTGATACATCCGATCCCTCTAAGTGGGATGATATTGTGTATAAACCAGCAGTACACGTTGTAGACTCTTTGCTGAATGGAAAAACTCCTACTGACATAAAACCACTTCCCTTGGAGGAACCACTCAGTAATGAACCAACTAGCTTTCATTGTGAGGTTTGTGATCGTATCTTCATTGGGAATATTCAATGGGAAGCACATATTAAATCAAAGAAACATAAAAGAGTTGTTCAGCAGAAGAGAAAGGAAAAGCTCGGCCTGAAATTTAGATCCAGGAAGGAATCTGAAGAAAAATATACGGATGTACAAATTGAAGAGAATACCTGTACTACTGGGTCTCAGACTGAAGATCAAGAAAAAGGGAACAAGGAAGTATTGACTGAACCATAATCTGCTTACAAGAAGGAATCTGAAGAGACCAATAAAATGAAAGAATATTCTTGCACAGAAAGCAGATTTTTGTCTATCACTACATTGCACTGACATGTTCTGCATGAAAATAATAAAATGATTGTTGGCCATTTTCTTGCTTTAATAGTAGGTAGTAATGTAGTTTTGATTTTCTTATACAGAATACTTTCAATAATAGCATTGTTTTATTTTAGGGTGATACTATATGGAATCATATTATTGTTATAAAGTAAAAAAAAAGAAAAAAACTAGGCAGACAAGACCACAGCTTTGGCATTATTTTGGTATTGTTGTAATAATGCTTTTTATGATTTCAAAACTATATGTATTTTCATACAAGAAAATTGTCTATTGAAGCAAGAAAACTACATTATTTTTACCACATAAGTGAATATTGTATGCAAAAATAAAATGTAAGTTTCAAAGATTGATAGGACAAACTTGAACCAAAAAACAACAACAAACAAACAATTGTGTAGCTCACTCAATACTGAGGCCTTAACAATGTACAAAATGTTGATAATATTTGACCTTTTATGTGCCATATCAAATGTATTGTGTGGTCTTTGTTGCAAAAGTTAATTCCAGTTGTTGCCAAAGAATGAGTATATGTGATAAAGTTTAATGTAGGATGTTTTATTAGATAGTTGTTGTCTAATCATTCAGTAACTAACGTAGTGTTAATGAGAGCATCTGCTTTATGCACAGTACCTTATAATTTAGATTGTTGCAAAACTAAACTAATCTGGGTCAATTGCATACTATATTACAAATTACGTATTTTTGATACTATATTTTCAAAATGTAAACAGTTACAATGAACTAAAAAAGGTTATTTTTGTATTTTGAAATAGTAGATTTTGTGTTACTTTCGATTGTGTTTACATTTTATCTGTAGTTCTCAAGAAAATGGTTATCAAAATTTCTGACATTTATTTTCTGTTTTGCAAGTTAATGGCAACTTAACTGTTATATGTTATGCCACATTCTATATGTTTTTCAATAAAAAGAACATCATATGAGGAGTTTTTATTTAACTCCCTAACCCCAATGTCTTCAGTCAATAAATGTGACTTTTTTTTCTTACGAACATAATTTTTCATATAAATGAATAAATAATAAGCAGTACATATATCTATATCTTTACTTAAAATAAAATTATTTTTTAAAATAATTATTTAAAAAAGTTTCCCTTATGATAGCGCCAAAGCAAAGAAGTTCAAACTCCTGCACGCTATTTTCTTTACAATTTGTGACATAATAAGAAACAACTATGGTTCAAAAGTGGATCCTTAAGGACAATGTCAGATAAAATTACTCGCTTGAATGTTTTAATTAGAATTTGCCTATTGTTTTTTTAAAATTTATTTTGATCCAGTTTCTTCCCAACTATTACTTCCTGTTCAGAGGAATAAAGTAAATGTACAATAAGTCTACGTAATTTGTAAGGTAAATGATAAATTAATCTTTAGGAAAAACATAAAAGATAACACAGAATGCTGCCTGTAAAATTTTGCCTTCTTTATATATTTTTACTTTGAAGCATGATGAAAGAAAAGAAAAAGGTTTATTTATACAGTGAAATTTTCAGTTTCACATTTTAGGGTGAGGCCATTGAAAAGTCAAGGAACTTTTCTGTTTGAAGCAGTAAAAAATGGCATTTTCAGATGAGTAGATTTTTAAGTCTCCAATTTCTTTAAACATATTTGTAAGTTCTATGTGTAATTGCTTCTATTCTCTCCATTCACTTTAAAAATACCAGAGGACATCCATAAATGTCATTTTAGATGTTAGTGACACAAAAATTAACAAACTTCAACTAGCCTTTGTAATAAGAAAATATACATTGACGTAATGACACAGAATGAACTCCACAAGGCGAATCATATGATCTGCGAAATACATTGGCTTATGAGTCAATGTGCTAATACGACTTAAAACAGTATTTAACAGTATCTGAGACAAGGGACTTAGCAATGAAAACATACAACTTTGCTAACTAGAATTAGTCTTCAGCTCGAGATATGTACAAATGTTCCCTTGAATTCATTCCCGACACATGTACTTAAGAATTAATGTAAATTTCAGAAATTTTTGTTTTACTTTTCATATTTGGAACTTTTATTCTCCCTTTGGCAGCACTAGAACAATGGCATTGGCCATGTGGATTTTATTATTTGATGCTAAGATCATATGATTTGTCTTATTATAGTTCATTTTATCATTACCTGAATGAATGTTTTCTCATTCTCTCTCCAAGATTGAATTTGAAATAAAGAAAAACAAATACTTTATAATTATAACAATTCAAATAATTCTAAAATATATCTGTCAAACAGTACAACACACAGTACTTTATTTTTGACTTTTCATAATGTAAAGTAGATATGAAGTAAGGAATTATTTCTCCTGTATAAAGTGTCCCATCTTGATTTTTGTAGAAGTTATCCAGTCTTCATTGTTAATGTCCTGTGTTCCTACACTTTCTTGAGGTGAATGTTGATTTTTATTTTGTAATTCAGCAAGTTAAAAAAATTAAGAATTAGAGTTAATTTGTACACTAATAAAGTGGATAGGGTGATGGGTACTTCAAGACAAGTTTTGAAATGCCATAAAATCATGTCCTTTAGAATAAACATTTAATAAATTTATTGTATTTACATGACCTGGTCATTTTTCTAAAACAAATGAAGAGTAAGCCTTAACTTTCAACTGGTACGATTTAACAGATTTTACCTATAATGTCACAATTTTCACTATGGTAGGGTAAACAGTCTCTCTTTAGTAATAATGGTTTCTGTTTTTGGAACGTGTTCAGTACCATAAGAAAAATGCAAAATATCCCGAAAAAGAAAATTGTCTGTTCTTCATCAAATTGATACCCATGTTCAGAAAGTGGGAGATGAAGATGATTTCATTATCATGTAAGATGTTAGAAATATGTGATGTAAAGATTCAGAAGAATAAAGAAATATAGTCTAAAAAATAGTAAAAGTTGGACTGAAGACAAGTTATGAAAAATGAAACAAAGTTAGTTTTAGAAACATAATGAATACTAAGCCTTTATTTGAGCAATACCTGGCACTAATGTTTCAATGCAAAGAGTGTTTACTTAAAACAAAAATTGGTTTGGTCTGATAATCAATCAATCTGTTACAATTGATCAGAGGTTAGTGAAGAAAAACGAATGCCTATGGTGGCAAATTAGTCACTCTGTTATTAAAAACTACAAGGAAAGTGGATGAGTAATTGAAAAGTGTATATAAACAAAAATCTCTTATATGGTATTTTGGTATAATAACTTATTATACAAGTTATTTACTTATTATACTTATTATATAAGTTAATTATTTTCTTCCTTTTTTAGTTATCTAGCCTATGAAAATAATTTTTTTACAATGGAACAAAAATTGGTACCCCTGGAGTGTTTGCTCCCAAATTTGGTGCAAATACTTTTGAGACACCTTAACAAGTGACAATTTCATTAATGGTGTTATCCTTTCGATGAAACATAATTCTTTTTGTGATTGAAAGATCATTGATTTTATTGACCAGTAATTTCTTATCACTGATTAACCTATTATGTATCCTACACGAATAAAATAAAAATGACGTAATGCAAAATCAATCATTAAATTATAATAAACAGCACAACTTCACTCTGCAATATATATTTATGCACTATGTAAAATAAGTTATGTTCATTGCATGATACCATGGCGTATTACAGGTAAGGTAATTATCTGGCCAATGTCCTTAAAAAGGGATGCAATACATTATGCCAACTTACCTCAGATCAAGAATCATTTGAAATCAACAATGGAATGTATGTTTATACTTAACACAAATACAGAAAGTCACACCCACGTACCCTGGCCACTGTACCTCTCAGTGACATTTCAATTTTACTAACATGGAAACCAAATATTCATAAACTTAAAGAAAATATTTTGCATATACAAACATTCCCTTCAGAAAAGTCGTTTCATTGCCAGTGATAATATCTTGTAATGTTTTGCAAAATTACAAAATTTTCAATATATTTAATTGAAGATATTCAAATTAAAAGTGTTTCAAAAATGGGATATTGCCTGGTAGTGTGTTACTTTAATTTGTTTTAAAACAATTTTTGAAATTTAATCACAACATATAATTTTGATTTATTTAAGCATTCACTTCTCCTTTGAAGATGATAATATAATTATTAGAAAACTGTTCTAAGAACACCATTTTTAATAATCAATTCGTTCTCCCTCTTGCTCACTTTCGTCATAGTGGAGGGAAACTCATTCTCCACCTAAAAACAATTGTATTTTTTTAATGTTCCCAAATGTATTTCTTCTACATAACTATTACCAAAAATGTTCTTTCCACACGTGCACTTTAGGATTGTACGGTGCCTTTTGTTTAATTTCAATTTCCAGCTTGTTTCAGGCTGCCATATATTGGAATGTTTAGAACAACAATATAATGAAAATTGAACATTTTTGTTTCAGTAACAATAAGATACTGAGTCCAACTATGAATATATTTCCAACATATACAAATTAATATTGAAACTTTCAAGTTTTTCCAGAGCAATAATCATTGTCAAGTATTTGGTGGCTAACTGGATCTGTTAAAAATATGTTAATTTGGCAAAACTCTTCTGTTCTGCTTTGTAAACAATATTGGCAGGATAAAGGAACAAAAATGACAGATTTACAGTTTGTGAGTTAAAAGAGAAACAGCAGTAACAACAATAAAAAGATACAGTAAGAAAACTAGCAAATTGTTTACTACATGTTTATGGTAATTTCACATGTACTTATAACACAAAATTGGTTAACAAAAATAAACATTATTTCAAAACATCCAACTCGTCATTGTTGCAAGAAAGTAAATCATTATTTAAGTCTTCAAATTCCTCTAATTCCATTTTACTAGCTCTGTGGTTGTATTTCAACAATCTTGGGTCTCGATCACAAATTAATTTATATGCTTCACACAGTCGACGAAATTCTTCAAGATTCAAGCGAAATGGTTGTGTTTGTGGGTTTACTTCTGCAATTTCATACATTTCTTTAGCAAAAGATACCCTTATTTTCTTTGGAAATAATGTTCTGTAAGGAAAGAATAGTCATTGGAGTTCTCTTAAAATTCTAGTTTTTAATTCATACCATGAATTAATACTTACTCTATACCACGCACACAGTATTTCTGTCGAAAACTGAAAATACAGCGGACAACTTTCTCCACAATTTCAAATGGTAGATTGATAATGGGTTGAACTAAAGGTTCAAAATGTACAACTCCTACGTCAACTTCTGGTTTAGGGAGAAACGCCGTACCTAAAATATACAAACTTGTCACTATTTTTTGTCAGATCATAGTCCACATTGTAGGTTTTGTTTATCTACTTCAAACTTTACTATTGTATATTCACGTTTGTAATACTTTGCTACTTGAATGACTGGAAATCTGTATGTCACAAGCACTACTGCCACTATTGACTCAATATATCAGCTTGGGGTGAGAAATACTTGAAAGTCTAGTTGCAAGAAAAAGCAAAGTAGGACTATTAATTTATACCAAAAGTTAGAGGAAAGTGAGAACTACTGTTTTATACATTGAAACCTTATTAAATGCTATTTGCTTTTGTCTTCCTTTATGGGTTTCAAAATCTAATAGTGCACAATTCCTGTGTATGAGCAGTGTTCAATTCTCTGTATCTTCTCAATAACAAATGAAAATTTTTCTGTCAAAAGGGTAGAAAGTTCTTTACTTAAAAAAATGCAATCAATGGAAGATATTTTCATTTTATGGGGTGGCGGGTATTTTGAATATTTTTATAAGGGATTCCAATTTTGAAATAAATTTAATTTAACAATCTCTTTAATAATATTGTATTTTAATGTACTTCTTCTTTCTAAATTATCATTAGAAAAATATATAATGCAAATAATTAATAATTTTGAAATATGAACCTGGATTCTGTTAATATTTTTCTAGTAAATATTCAGTTTTTCATGTTATTAAAAATTGAGGTGAATTAAAATCATATCTAGTTGCATAGAATATGTGAAAAAGTTTATTTTTAAAGAATCCATTTCTCTCATTGAAAATGTAAATATATCTGTATAGAATATATTGTCCTCTTGTGAGAAGTTTTGGTCATTTTCAATGCAAATTTCAAAACAATAATGACAAAGATGAGTGAATATACGGAGATGAACTAGACTATAACTATAATTTACATCCATGAGATGCACCTTTGAAATTAATATAATTTAATTAAAAAATTATAATTTGGTATTTTGTCAATTACCAAACAACACATTTTAAAGAAGTGGTCTTTTTATCATGCTGGAAAACAAAAGCAACTCTAGTTGATCACAACTGGCTTTAATCAATGAAGTAATTAAGTCATCTGAATAATGGTGATATAACTTCATAATTATAGTTCTAAACATCTTAATTTCGGTGTAAAACCTAAGTTACCTGGAATGGTAAATTTATGGGTAATTTGACACCAATTTTGGCACATTACTGAAAGTCGACATCTTTGAGCTGAGGAAATTGGAGCTACCAATCTTTCAGCAACTTCTTTTTGAAATGTGAGTGTCATTTTAGTCCTTCCATAAGTCCATGCACTATTTCTAAAAGGGAAATAAAATAAATAAATTTACAATTGCTTTAGTATTGTAATTATATTTCAATTAATATACTAGAAAACAAATATAATAAAAAAATACTTCTCAGAGATTGACTTCATCCACTTAATAATAAGTGGAGTGGAAACATTAAATGGTAAGTTTCCAATTAAATGAATATTTGGTGGTGGTCCATCCCATGGTTTGCAATAATCATCAGGAAAGACTTTATCCATTTTATATGACATTACATCACCTAAAATTATGTCCATATGCCCTTGACTTGCATCAGCCAACAGCTAAAATTCAGCAGAAAAATGAGATTACCTGGCATTAATAGTTTCTTATGTTCCTATTTTTGCAGTCTAACAAACATGTAGTTTACTGTACCTCTAAGCTGGGAAGAAATCTCTTATCCTTTTCTATTACAATAACACGACGTGGGTTTCTCTTCAGTATCGAGCGAGTAATACCTCCAGGACCAGGTCCAACTTCACATACATAACCATCTTCAATTCTGCCTGCAGCTTTTACAATGCGGTCAATTATCCTTGTGTCTAACAAAAAGTTCTGTGATAATTTTCGCAAAGCATTGATCTTATACAAACTAATGATGTCACGAATAGAAGGCAAAGGAGGTAATCTCACTGCAACTTCCACTCCCATGACAAAAGTTTTATTACACTTTTTATAGTTACTTAACAAGTCTAAAATTCGAATTACCAAAAAACTATACTATGATTCTTTTGCCAACACTTTAGGCTCTTCAAAGTCATCCAAGAAACTTTCCTGTTTGACAGCTAACATAGAATATAAATATATGCCAAATACACCGGTCCCCAATAAACATCCGGTGATAATATTATTTCTTCTCATACGCTTAAGCTTTTGAACACGTTCCAAGTTTTGTTTTTCAATTAATTTCATGTACTCTTTCATAGGACCAGATATCTTCGAGGCATCTCTCGTCAAATCCACCTTGTTTAAATTTTCACTCTGCTCCATTCTCTTGATAGCTCCTGCAAGTATTACTACGCATTATGACAGTTTTTACAAGAGAACCGTCGAATGACTCCGTAATATATTTTTTAGCAAAAAATTCATATCTTCATTAAAATTGTTCTCACCTCGCAAATAATTTGCTTCTTACAAAACCAACACGGAACAACTTTCAGGCGCCACGATGTAGGATATCATATGTTCCTCCCTCATTCGCCAATTGCCACCATCTTGCTAACGCGAGTAACTAGCGACATCATGTGGTTCGGAAAAGAACTAATGAGTTGATCATTTGATTACTACTAGATGGCACATCAACAGCATGAGGTAGACTTATACTGACACTAGATGGCGCCTCAGTTCACAACGCGAGAGAATTTTATTACACGAAATGGACCCTGTTTGAGAGTACGAACATATGGAGTCAGCTGATTGGAAGACGTCAAAGCCATCAACAAAGCCATGCGCTCTAATGTTTTGGTCGTGCAGTTTTCTGCTTGATGTGTGCGGAGTAACAACGCTGTGCGGGTTCCAGTGACTCTAAATTACGTAAAATGCCTTTTATTTCAAAAGATTGGCGTTCGCCTGGAGAAGAGTGGGTTAAAACCGAAGAAGGCTGGGAGAAAAAGAAAATCCTTGAATGTGGACGCCAACTCGGAAACCAGCAAGAAAACATGGAACCCAGGTTTGTTTACTTTCACAGCTGATCATTGTGTGGTTATTATTTACATGTTTAATCTAGGTTAGTGTAATAAGGAAATCGATAGCAATGTTTTGATCTTCGTTGATTTTGTTGTCAAGTGAATGATGAATTTTCAATGTTTCTGGAAGAATCCTATTTCATGACCTTGGCTGTTTTGTTTTTATTAAAGAGTGAAAGGGTTTTATTTCTAATATTTTGTATGATAACAGTGAAATTAAGTCATCTAACAATTTTGTGATGACGCAAGCCCGAAATTGAAATATATTTTGATATTATTCAATATTAAATTTTTACAAAACATTACTGTTGAATAAAAAAGTGTAATTTATTCATGGATAACTGTCATTGAAGAAAAACGAAAGAATTTGTATAACCTTCTGTTATGACATTTTTTTCATTTCTCTTCCATTAAAAGTAATGTGAATTGAAATTCGGCTCTCCAACAAAATTCATGTGTCCGAACGTGCGTCATATCAGTGTTTTATAGCAATAAAAATGTATATTGAAATTTGTTCCTTTGTTACGAGTTTTGAACTGAACAACGAGTATAATTTCAAAACATAACATCTCTTGTATTAAACTACTTTCGAGTGCCTGGACATCTGAAAACTCGCTCGCTGCTGTCCGTGACCATGGTGACCGCTTAGTGATTGTTACTGCGTCGGGCGCCCGCCGCGTCGCGTCGCATCGCGTCGTTCTGTTGCAAAACAAAGGAGCGACAGCGCGTGAGGCGGTCCCTCCCACGCGCGCCCGGAGGGTCGCCCGGCGCGTGGTCGGCGATCGAGCGCGGCTCGCGAGCGGTGGTGCTGCTGCTGCTGCATAAAAACAGCCGTTCGGGCGAAGTCGACGCGCGAACCGTTATAAGGACAATAATAGTGTTGCGTGGGCGCTGACATAGCCGCCCTACGAACTGCAAATCGCCGCCCGCGCCGTCCACTTCCACAAAGCGGCGCTGCGCTCGTGTCGTCCAGAACGGGACTCGCCGCTCTATCCCCTTTGTTCGCAGTGGTAACGCTGTGAAGTAACATGTATTGTTTTGCAAATTCACAGATGTTGTTAAGAGAAGTTTCGAAGCTGAATAAAGAAAGACCGAAAATGATTGATCATGTTTGTCTTTTTATCTTTAATTGATAATTTGTATGCTGCTTATTGTGTTTTAATTACATATCGCGATTGTCACTAATAGCATTTTGCATAAATCTCTCTAGTGTTTTTCAACGCTATCTAAATGTTTCGGGTCCCCCTTATAGACTTAAAGTTACAATTTTATGTTGGACGTTACCTTAATAATGTATCGATTGAACATCGATATTTCAGGTAAAATGGATTTTGAACACTACGTTAGTATCACAAGAAAGTCATTTTAAGATATTGAGTTGAATGTAGTGCAAGTGAGACGCCGCGAAACCTTGAAACATTGTTAAATGGCCTCTGACGAAGTGTTAAAGTCCTTGTCATCCAGTTGTGAGTTTAAAATCCATTCTACACAGATTTGTGCTGTTCTTACTGGAGCCTCTGACAGCTTCTTGGGCGGTTTTCCGTTTATTATTTTGTCGTGGCGCTAACCGCGGCGCTTTGTTCTATCTCTGCTTCGTTAATTTAATAGATATGCATCCTTATTATCCGCGTGGTGAAATGTTACGGTTAAGCCTGCTGTTGAACCTTGTATATACGTTATATCTCTTTCATTCTAAATAAAGATGCCTGCTTTTTGATATGATTATTAACTTATAATCAAGAAATTCAAAAATTAGTATTTTCAATGGACGTAAAATATATATCAATCAAGACTTTAGTATTCATTATATTTTCCTCATGCAGTTTAGCAATTTTTTGACGTTTCGAAGTATTCTGCATCCCATAACCTTGAATATTCCAGTGGGTAGTGTTGTAATTTTACGTAAGATAGTTAAGGAAGTTTTTAGCAATTTTACTCTTGTTTTTTTTAAAAAAAAGTCCAGTAGAGTAAAATGTGAGTATGCCAATAATGAATGAGGGACACGAACGAATAATGAAAAACATGGAAATCGATGAAGAAAACTCATTTTGCCGTTGTCAGGTACAATGTCTTTGAATGGTGACGAAATCGCATGTATTCAGGAAGTCGTAAAACACAATTCAAACCTTTCAATTACATATTACAATTATATGTCAAAAAATTAAATGTAAATTGAACAAGGCTTGTTAAAACGTGCAATGTGCACAAATATATGCAATACTTGGTAATATTTTACACAAGATTTATGCTGCACACAGTACAAAGATTCTACCAGCAAGTAAGTACATGTTACTACGAAAGTGTAAAGAATGAACGTGAATGCTTTTGCTTTTTTTCCTGCAGTTACATGACGTAGTATGAAGTAATAAGAAAAAAGAAAAATACTGCGTCATTAGTCAACATTTATTATTTTCTATACGTTCTTGACTTAATCGTACGCTTGTTGATATGTTGGAGATTTGAGTTTGGTAAATATTTATGATTCTGGAGAATCATAGAATTATAACTAAACTGTGAACATTTGCGACCCTAAATATTAAGAATGTGAGTGAAATGCCCAACTGTTTCCCTCTGGCCTCGAATGCTGCCGCCCGCCCGGTCCATTTGCTCTACAGCTGATCCCGCGTCGAGGTCGCGAGTAACAAGTTTTGCATCGGTATGGCGGCGCCGCAGTGAGCCTTCTTTGCTCGAGTGGACACAGGGCGGAGTGGCTGTCACGAGAGTCAATAGCTCATCCATAAAACGAACAGGGGGTCGAATTATTATCTGGCACATTGTATCAAACTTCAAACAATTTTCATTTTAAAGTTTAGGTAACAAAGAATAATTGATGTTGTGTATTCAACATGGGTGGATCCCGAGGTATAATTTGGAGGGATTTTTGGAGAGAAAGGGAGTTGTGGAATATTTTTACCCAACAGCGCGAAACAAAAATGAGTTTTTCACGATGGTGTATACGTGTTTCTTTGTTACCACATATCGTTTGACTGATTCGTTTAATATTCTTCTTATATGGCGTATGCTTACATTCGTCATGACAGCGTGGATGTCACTAGTCGTATAAAAGAACCTAGAATACACTATGGCGGACTTTAGGCAATTATCGTTATTTTTAGGTTTAAAGGTTTGACGAATTTCCTTGCGTGAAGTACACATATGTGTACATTTGCCCTGATACCTTCATGTCTTATGCCATATAAAGTTACAAAGAAACCAATGCAGCAACAAGGCTCCATTTTATTAAGTTGTTGGCTGCAGGTCAATATTACATTTTTAACGATAGAATGGCGGCGCATAATTGGGCGATATTTTTATTTTTAATTTGTTTTATTCTATTTTATTTTTATTTTTTCTTTGGTTTTATTTTTTCCGTGGACAACAGCAAAGATTAGTAGGGACAGACTCTCCACCTCCCGTCTTTTCCGAACCAGCAACTA